TTGAATACCAATATACAAGACCACAATACAAGAATTTTTGAGATTTGTATTTCCTTTCTCCAATGGAAACTGTCTTTATTTGTGGCGGTAAATCTGAGATCGAAGTAGGTGGTTCGCACGTTACCTCATGCCACCATGCTGGTGGAAGTAAACAATAGATATCTCAGATACCATGAATATATGAAGTTCATAGATATCTCATTAGCTCCTTTTGTTCGTCTACCAGCATTTAAATTTGACCCACACACGTCACGGTGAGTGACAAATGAGCCTGGGTCTTCCCAGGGAAGACTTGCTTAAATAGCGCGCCTTCGTGTTTAAAGCCTTTAAATGGTCGTGACAGCTGTTCAGCGGTTCGCATTGCATTTTTGACAAAATAGCCCAAACTCTTGTAAACCTGGAAGTGCCGCTTATAGCGGGCCAAGGGAGAGAATTGGAGGAATTAAAATACAAGGATAAAGCTTTACGATAATGTACATTATGATTTGTAAGAATATATGGCAGACCTGTTCATAGGCCGCTAAAGTTGACCTTTATTTTACCTCCGCGAAAGAGACGCGAAGTACTTTATTTCAAAAAGTAAACGTAACAAAATAACAAGAAATTAATATTTACCAAGAGATAAAAGGACCATCTGCTAGTACACAAAATTTAGAAGCGGCATTGCATCGCGTTGTAGCGTACGAAGTTGCCAAAGTTGCATAATTTTTCATTGCTCTGCGGGGAGGACAACGGCCATTTAGGCGAATTCGAATTTTTCGGAGAAAAAAAAGTGCGATAGAACTTTCTGATATAATTTTCGAAAAGGGTTCATTACAAGGGTCCTTTAGAAAAAATAAAACGAATTACGAAATTTTGTAACTGTCGGCGGATTCTCGATATTTATGGTCAGTTACTCTTAAATAGTGCTCTTTACTGCGAGGATCGTGCACAAATACGTTAATGTATTTATATTTCTTTTAAAAGTTCTAAGTCGTAAGCCATAACGCCTTTCTCCAGAATGCTGAGGTATTCGCTTGATATCATGTTTTGTAAGTAAGTTATAATAAGCAAGTAGGAGAGATGTACCAAAGCACAACTGCCTTGAATTGATACGAGCCTCCTTCAGAATCTTTTGTCTAAGTTTTGTGTAGTAAATCACAGCTTGTTTCATGTTCCAGGTGAACCGAGACAAGATCCAACGCGATCGACTTGAACGGATTCGAAATTACTGCAGCAAATCAAGAAACAACCAGAACATCTTTCACAAACTTCCCCATCGAAATCACTTTAACTTTGTCGTTAGTGAGAAGCACAAATTCATCATCTGCTATGTGCCAAAAACTGGCTGCAGTCAGTGGAAAGATTTACTTCTGAACGTCCTTACAGTTCGCCCGGTTACATCGAGCCATGACATCTCGTTATTCAACCATTCAATCTTTAAATTCTTGAACGAGTATTCAGCAGAAGAAAGGCAGAAAACGCTGAACTCTTATCAAAAGTTCTACTTTGTTCGTGAGCCATTTGAAAGATTACTATCGGCCTATCGGGATAAATTTGTTGGTAAAACGACTCAGTTATACGAGAGAGTCGCCAAGGAAATAATTCATAAGGTTCGCGGTGTTGGAAGAGACAACGAAAACGGTGGAAGACCAACTTTAGCAGAGTTTACGTCTTATCTTAATCAGTTACCAGACCCCTCCTCATGGGATATGCACTGGCGACCAGCCCACCAAACATGCTACCCATGTGCCATTGATTATGACTATGTAGGGTACTTCGACACCATTAAGGAAGACGCTGATTACATTTTGAAGAAGCTTCGATTGGATGACCAGTTCCAATTTCCACCATTTAGATCTCAGACTTCAGTGATGCTGGAAACACACTTTTCCCAGATACCGCTGGACCATATTATCAAACTCGCAGACATCTACCGGGAGGACTTTGAAATGTTTGGTTTCAAGTACCCCGCTTCCATCAAGAAGCTCTTTAAGGACTGGGTATGAGATATCACAAACGTGGAGAGGTGAGAGACCACTCATTATTTTTCGCCTGAAAGAGGGGGGGTGGAGGATTTTGTGGGATTACATGGTTTTCAGGAGGAATGGAGTATGGAAAATTGTCTGGCAATTTACAGCCAATGGAGGAGAATCGCAAAAATATTGCAAAGCCTTCGGGGGAATCAGGTAAATCTTATCGCCGCGCAATCAAAATCCTCCACCACCCCCGGCTATAAATAATGTCAGGTCCCATAAATTACATCAATGCAATTTGACAAAAAGATTGGTCGGTGACATTTAAAGAAGATGAGGCTCAGAGACAGAATCTCTCATGTCTTAAACAACTCCTTTCAATGTTGCTTCTAGAACAAAACTGTTTTGGGAGATCATAGATCAATCTAGAGATACCTCCTTCTCAGTCGTCATTTGCTCTTATCACAAAACTCTTTCATTCCTTCACCTGCATTACTTAGTTCTTATTAACCGAGCGGGAGGTCTGTATTGGTAATCTTGAGAATCTCCTTCATATGTTATCTGAATTGCAATTGCCTTTTTCAGTGATAAGGCTTTCAGAAACTAAATTTAAGGTTGATAAGGATACCATAACAAATGTTAATATTCCAGGTCAAGTTATGATTTTATTTCACAGCCAAACCTCTCAAATGCAGGAGGTTTTGGCTTCTATGTAAAAAATTATTTAACTTTCACTGTTCTATCAGAATTGTCAGTTACAAAAGTAGATTTTGAAACTCTCTGGACAGAGATTAATTGTGATGGTCAATCTAATCTAATCTGCAGAGTTATATATAGACGCCCAAATGGTAATTTGGATAATTTTATGGATTATACTAACAAGATAATCGAAAATATACATCTTCAAAATAAGTTCTCCCTTATAGTGGGTGACTTCAATATCGATCTCTTGAATTCTTGCAAACAATCAGATGATTTTATTAATACTCTTGCTTCCTTCTTTTACCAACCCCACATTTTACAACCCAATAGGATAACTGATCACACTGCTACTCTAATTGATAATATCTTCTTTAATTCTATCGAGCACTTTTCTATTAGTGGGAATATAGTTTATGATCTTACTGACCATTTGGCTAATTTTATTATCCTGAGTAATCTTGGAGCTCTCCCTTCTAATATAAAAGTATATAAAAGAGACTACTCAAATTTTAACCAATCAACCTTAGTCAATGAGATGCAATCTATAGACTGGCATAGTATTTTTACTTCTGATTCCAATCCACCTGATATGTTCTGCTGATTCTATTCCATGATTTCTGAAATAGTAGATAAATACATTCCTTTGAAACAATTATCTAAGAAAGAATTAAAATTTCGTTCCAAGCCATGGATAACCCAAGGATTAAAAGTATCTATTCAAGTAAAAAATAAATTTTATTAAAAATATTTAAAGACCAAACCTTATTACTTTCACTCTAAGTTTATATAGGAATAAATTAAATCATATATTAAAACTAAGCAAAATACAATATTATAGTGATTATTTTCTTAAAAACATAAAAAATAGTAAAAACATTTTGGACTGGTATTAAACAAATTATCCATTTTAAGCCTTCAACTAGTCTTGGAACCATAAAATCACTAAAGAAAATAATATCACAACTGATCATTATGATTGCTGATATGTTCAATAACTTTTTTGCTAACATTTACAAGGACCTTGCTTGTTCAATACCAAATGTTGAAATGTCGCCTTTAGAGTATTTAAAAACTCCTTCCTATAATGGTTTTTTTATTTCACCTACAACAGCAGGGGAAATTGAATCTGAAATCACTAAACTGAAATTTAGCAAAGTCACTGGTCCCTTTCGTACACCCGTCAATATTCTCAAAATTCTGAAAACTGTTGTATCCAAGCCTCTAGAGGTTTTGTTCAATGCCTCCTTTGAGACCGGTATAGTGCCAGACAATTTTAGATTACCAAATGTAATTCAAGTCTATAAAAAGGGATCCCAGACTTGTCTATCTAATCATCGACCAATCTCCTTGCTGTCTGTTTTTAATAAATTGCTTGAAAAACTTATGTGCAATAAATTAGTTGATTTCCTTGAAAAGAAAAAAGTGTTCTTTGAAAATCAATTTGGTTTTAGGGCTAAGCACTCCACTGATCATGCTACCCTTAGTATTGTTGATAGAATTCAAAGGGCAATTGATGACAGGGATTTTTCTTGTGGTATATTTTTAGATTTCAGTAAGGCATTTGATACCATAAATCATGAGATATTGTTAAGAAAATTGGGGTTGTATGGCATACGTAGGATTGCAAACCAGGGGTTTAGTTCATATCTTACAAATCGTTTACAAACAATCACCATAAATGGTGTAACTTCTACCTCTGTCAAAATTTCATGTGGTGCTCCTCAGGGATCAGTCCTTGGACCGATTCTCTTCTTGTTATATATTAATGAATTTCACCATTGCTCTAAATTTTTTGATTTCCATTTATTTGCTGATGATACTAATTTATTTTGCAAACATAAAAATCTCACTTCTCTATGGGCAAGTATTAATAATTCTCTGATGACTAATTCTCTGATGAATTAATAAATAATTCTCTAATGAATTCTCTATTAATAATTCTCTAATTCTGTAAGTATTAATGAGCTCTCTAATGTTAATTCCTGGCTTTGTGCAAATAAACTTTCTCTCAATATAGAATAGACTAGTTTTTTTATTTTTCATCCTTCCCAAAGGAAAGTAACATTCAAGTTCAGCTTAACTTTAAATGGGAAACAGTTGCAACAGGATTCCTGTATTAAATACTTAGGAATTTTAATTGATGCAAATTTATCCTGGAAACCTCAAATTGCGTGTATTATAAAGAAAATTAAAAGAAGTGGAGGGATCTTGTCTAGGCTTCGCCATATTGATATTCTTACTAATCCCTACTGCTCTTTAATCCACCCAATTCCGATTTATGGTATAATTATCTGGGGTAATACAAATTCAACTACACTTCAGCGTTTATACATTTTACAGAAAAAAGCAGCGTGAATCATGACTTTTTCCTCATTTGATGAACATTTAACTCCACTGTTTAGAAGCTCTCTGATCTTGTTACATTTCATATTGCGCTTTTTATGCATAAATTTCATAACAAGTTATTACCTTCCTATTTTGATAGCTTCTTTAATTCAGTACATAGTATCCATAACTACAATACACGAAGTGCAGTAAATCAATCTAATTACCTGCCTCCAGCTAGAAAAAACTATGGAATTTGTAATATTCGCTTTCAAGGACCAAAGGTATGGAACTCTCTTGGGCAAGATATAAAGTCAACCCTTTCAGTAAATTTAAAAAAAAAATTTTAAATGAATTACTGTGCCAATATTAATGTCACCCTGGTTTTTTCGCTTTCACCTGAGTAATCAGTTTCTTCCCAGCTATTCCTGTGATTTAATTTAATTTAATTTATTAGCTTCGCCAAAAAACAAACAAACAAACAAACAGACCACAGAAAGAACGTTGTCAGGGACACCGCAACAGCTGTGGCCAATTACAGTGGGCCTGGACACTAATAAAACAAGAAATATTAAAAAGCACAGTAATACAAGAGAAACAACAGCTACATACGCTTTTTTATTTTATTATTATTGTTCACGATTTCATTTCTAATATATACATATAATTATATAATATTTTTTTCCATGACTTGTAAATTTCGTTTATTCATAATTATTTTTAGTTTACTTCTGGGTGTGTGTGTGTGTCCCGACCCTAATATTGTAATCCATTCTATGTAATTTGGCTTCCTAGCCTTGTAGATAGATAGATAGATAGATAGATAGATAGATAGATAGATAGACGTTTATTAAAAATACCTTGATAGCAGCTGGAAGCTGAATTGCAAAGGTGTACGAATTATGTAATAGAACTATACAATAAAATCAAACCTAAAAAGGAACTAATTTACATATACAATTATAATAAATGTTAGTTAAAATGTCTTGCGCTTGCTGGAATGAAAGTATCTCGGAACCGATTTGTTTTAAAGGAAACTCTAAATGGTCAGTGCGTCGTCGTAATTCCATAAGTTGATCTTGGTTATCGAAAGGCAGTAAGTGGTATAAAAGATCCAAAGGATTGGAGACGATGTTGTTAAAGAATTTTAAGTAAAGCTCTTCTCTCCGATCCCTTAGGGTTTTCAGCCCTGCCATCTGAAGCACTTCTCTATAATGATTATGATAACCGTATATAATTTTCAAGGCTCTCTTTTGGACACGCTCTAAACTTAAGCTCAAATAATTGGGGAGACTATAATGGTAGATCTGACATCCAAAAAGTAAGACTGATTCAATACAAGTAACATAAAAATTTGCTAATTCTGGTGATGGTACCTTCAGCTCGCTTAAACTGAGTTAAAAAGTAAAGGCGTTTAGCGGAATTTTTAATCGTCTCAGTAACGTGAGTGTTCCACTTGAGGTTTTCTTGAAAATACACACCCAGTAATTTCACGACACTGATGGTACTAACCTTATAGCCATTAAGTTCTATGAGATCATAGGAAGTGGGGGAACGCACAAAGGAAACTCTTAGCTCATTACATTTTTTCGGATGGAGTTGAAACGAGCTGAGTGTTGACCAGGTGGCCACTTCGTTTATCGTAGAATTGAGCATTGCTAGGACCACCCTTGCTTATGACTTCATATACTGTCGTGTCATCTACATATAATCACTGGCTGATGGTACTTTCAAATCGTTTATCATGACCAAGAATAGCCACGGTCCCAATTTTGTTCCCCACGGTACTCCTGCTCGGACCGATCCCCACTCTGAGAGACAATCATGTGCGAGTTTGACCCTTTGTTTCCTATCTTTTAGAAAGGCTGTTATCCGATTAGTGATGTAAGGGTTGATGTTGTAGGTCGAGAGTTTCGAGTTTAGATTATTTGTTAACCTAGTTATTTTAGGAAGCCAACACCCTCTTAGTTTTAATTTTTTGTTTGATGTTAATTTAACTTTCTCAAGAATAAGGGTGAATAAAGTTGTTGTTGTTGTATGGGAGAATCTTCA